TTGTGAACGTTTAGGAAGAAATACAAGTTTTTTGCGAATCGAAGTCGCAGCACCAAGTTTCAGCTGCTAACATCTCGAAAACGAATTCTCAGCTAACACCACAGGAAATAACTTTTTAATTTGTATTTGCGTAAGAAATATGAATGAGAAAGCTATCGATAAATTTCCATCTGCTCAATGGACGAGGAAATGGCATTGCTAAGCAGGAGCTTTGGTTTGAAATCTTTTCAGAATCTGAAATGAGATTGAGACTCTGCTGGGGATGGCAGGTAGTTTACCAGGTACAATACCTTCAACACTGATGAATTTTGAGAGAATGGATATAATGATTCCATTGAATTTCAACCTACAGTTATAGAAACGTTGTATTTGACCAAGATATTGATCGAATTATAGTAAATTACTCGTTATCTAAACACCCAACGAACAATATATAAACATTATTCAATACTACTAAACTATATAGTTATAAATTTTGCCTCTGTGATTCTTTCTTTTATTTATGCATAAACATATGTTTAATTGTCTATACATAACACATACATGTAGTTGATATTGAATGCTTCTTAATATAAGTTTTTAATAAAAATTCTTAATATAAACTTCTTAACATAAATTATCAGATCAATTGTTATATATTTTGAAAGGAAATTAATCAAGCCATGAAAGTAATTTCACAGAACAATTGTTTTATACTTTCTTAAAAGTAGAATTTTACGTACCGAGTCCCCCGTAACAATTTCAAGTCGTCTGATATTTTTATAAGCATATTGTATAAAGTATTTACAATAATTTGTAATCTTTGAAGTGAACGTTTTAACAATTTTGACAGAGTGTCAGAAATGACATTGTACAAATGTAAAATGTGGCTTGTCAATATGTGGAGCATATCTTTTAATTTGTTCTTTTATTGAATGAAGATATCGCCGCTATTCACTCAGTCTTAAATGAATTCGATATCCGTCTGTCTATCACAGTTCGACCTTGTCTTATCCATGATGTTGGCTCTATCCGTGCCAACGCACCTTTGTTAACCCATTTCACTGTACTCGCTGATAATGCTAATCATAATTCTATAAATTATATAAACTGATGGAACAGCGGATTTCTTTAAAGATTTCGTCATTTAATTTTTTCAGACAGTTGAAAAATTTAGCAGAAGATTCTGACGGCAGTTTAAACAGGTTCTGCGAACAATCTGTTATATCGTGAAGCGTCAATTCTACTCACCGTGCAAAACGAAGCGTTTTTCACGAACAAAGAATACCAGATACCACGTTTTAGTGTACTGAAACTATTCTTTTTTGTAGATGAATTGACATCAACTTCCGTTTCACCAAAATACCATTCACCAAAATGCTACTGTGTTATTTTTTAATGTATTTATTTTTAATCTATTTATTTTTACTCTATTTATTTTTACTCTATTTATTTTTACTCTATTTATTTTTAATCTTGTTATTGTTATTGTTATTTTATTTTATTTTATTTCATAAATGTGTTTCAATTTAATTTTCTGTGACGCTGGTTTAGGTTGAGATTATACACTACTATTAATATTTTATTTAATTAGCAAAATCTCGGCACGCATCAGGAGAACATTTTAATTCTAATAACATTCAACATTCGATTCTTTTTGAATATTTATCTATCTATCGAGTGCATAAATATCACAAATTTTTTACTTCAATATATATATATATATATTGTGGAACGGTGTACTGAATTTAAATTCACCAACGTTCGTATCTGATTTCACATTTAAACTGAGATTATGTTCCAACAAAACAGTTCTACCTTCCGCCGGTATTAAATTATTTCTACATAACATGCTCTACATTTTAAAATTCAACGTGTAATTTTTCTTATTTACTCATAGCAATTCAAAAATAATTTGTCATATACTGTACATATACAACTTCCGGAATGTCTTTCGAATTGAAATATATGTCGAATATTTGTAGGGTTTCGGACCGCATATATCTTTACATTTCGTTTTGCTTAGGTTAAATAATAAACATTAATTTTCATGTCATACATTGTAAATTACAAACAAAAGATTTGATGCTAAACAATCAATTTTTCTAACCACTTTGAACATATTTATCATAGTTGGTTTTTATGCGTCTTTTAGAAAGAGCTTACTTCCTAAAATTAATTAATATTTAATATCTTGTTTTAAGAAGAATTTACTTTTTAAAAATAATTAATATTTATTATTTTCTTTGAAAAACTTTCTTTTTAGAAAAGGAATTAATGCTTAATATCTTCTTTTAAAAAGAGAAATATCTTATAGAGCAAGATAATTCTAATAAACAATAATAAACTGAAAGAAAGGAAGAATATGAATGGAGATCCAATAGAGAAAGTCGAATAGAGAATAAAATTGAGGAGGACGGAGTCAATGCAAGCATTATTTGTGATTTTGGATTGATATAAAGTAATTGTAACATTGGAATAAGTGATTGGCATGAACAAATTGCGAGGGAGTTCACGTATCCCGGAAGGAAATGTGATTATCTATTTTCTTGTCTATAGGTATTGGTTTAGTACGAAGCCATGTTGTATGAGTGCTTTCCTCCAATCTCCTTAATTATCTAGTTGATCTGTTACATGAGAACCAAGAGTGTGCTTGTTCCTATCCAATAAGCCCTTAAATTGTCCGCATTATCACTTAATTCCTGATCCTGCCGTTACTCTTCGTCACTGTATTATAATTTTCAACCTTCCTTTGTCTCTTCCCATAGCTTCAAATCAATTTTTGCGCGCGTTTGTGACTTCCGTTAAAAACGTTTTTAACGTTTTTTGTCATCAAATACTCTAGAAATTAAATATTTGATGTAAAAAACGTTAAACGGTATCATTATATTTTATTATTTAACATTTAGCCTGTAATGTAAAGAAAACAAAACGTTATAGTTGCTTTTGTTTTCTCTGCTCCTGCACGAGAATCTGTGTTCGCATGAATTTCCGCAGTCCAGTAACAGGCAGACTGCGGATGTTTACGTATTTATACCAAACACGAACGTAAGAAACACTATGGAACTTCGTCTACGATTAAATTCAGTTACGTTGCCGTTGCAAGGTCAACATACGTACTAAAACAATTGACTGAAAAAATATGCTTCTGTTTTGTATGACGGAATATGCTTTTGTCTTTAATAATTCGTAACAAAGAAATTTTATTCTATATCACGATCCCCATTTTAGTTACCGTTGCAGTGAAATTTTCTGCATTCGTTGCAAGAAACAGGAGCCGCTTGGGAGTTTCATTTTTTCTTTAATAATTTTGGTAAGTTGATAATAATATATTGATATTCCTCAATTCGTTCAATTTTTCTGCTGTTAAATTACAACTATCCATTTTTGTCACGAAAGGAATGAAGTTCACAGTATAATTATAAATTCATACGCTTAAAGGCAAAAATGCAGCGCAACGAATGCTGTCGAGAGAAGTGCAGTATTCAGAAGAAGTAGAATCGGCAGATCTTAGTCAGACACATGAACCCGATTACTATTTCACAGCTCACGTAGTCGACGAATTTTCAACTTCAGTTTTCTCCAAATTCATACCTTGCACATCAAAACTACGTTCTACGTTGCCGATATATTTCTTCATGCAGATTCTCTCTTTTTGGGTCACCTAGTCACGTTTACGTTCGATGTTAGTGTCGTAAAATGTAACTAATTTCCGTCTTGTCACTTTTATGAGAAAAATCATATTTGTAACTTGTAATACTTACAATTAGTAGCTTTATTTATTCATGGCCACATAAATCAGTGTGCAAAATCTGGCTTATTCTTCATGATGGGAGAAAATCTCGGAAGAAAATAATACTTAGTTTGAATAGGAAATTATCATGACAGCACAAAAATTCGTTTCGAGCGTATTTTTTCAAGATTTCAAAGTCACCAAAATATTTTTTAATGGATACGTGTTTTCATAGATGGGACACGATAATTGAAGTCAACATGCAACACTTGTGTTTTAACAGTTGAACAATTGATTCGAATAATGAGATAACTGTAAGGAAAAGATCAATAAAATAAACTGACGCTATAAGAAATCCATGTATTTACTAATATCAGTCTTAATCCCTGTAATGGTATATTTCTGGAAATACAAGAAAACTTATGGTTAGATCATCCTTCATAACATCTTTCAGAATCTCCATGGAGTCGGCGGACATCATTTTCATCAGTTGTTAAAACAATATTTTTATCTATAATGTGAACAGCGAAAATAAGAATGCAAAACAATCCACACATTGATAGGGCCCAAAAAGCATATCCAACATGCTATTACATGCTGAAACAACCGGAAGCTGCTGTTGATCCTGTGAACGAAGAACATAAAATTGGCTCATTTTCTTTGCAGCAATGTGAAAATACGTACTCCCTTTAAATTTTACAACATTGTAAACACCGGAAAGAGGTGCTAGGTAAAGCTCCACAAAGAAAACTGTCGAATACGTAAAACTGGAAAGAAGTTCGTACACCGATAGGGTTATATAATGTCTTTTATTCTGTTTTTGAATATTCTCATTAACCAAAATACTAGTTTGATTACAAATGTTAATCTACTTATTTGGATGTTGGCATACTAATTCGGCAAGGCACTAAAAGCTCTAAAAAACTTAAAGCTGCGCAAGAACAGCGAAAAAACAGGTTTCCGAAGTTGGCTTATTTTCTCTGTACCGGAGAAAATCCTTGCTCCCTTGAAATCGCAGAACCTCGTAAACACCGGAAGGAGGTGTTAGGTGTAAGTCTACGGCGAAAGCTATCGAATACCGCAATATCGCTGCGATCACAGCCAGATAGGCAGAGGTGACCGCACTGGCGGCGGCAGGAAGGGAGGTCGCCGGAGGCTACGGTGCCGAGAAACGCGGCGAAGGAAGAGGAGAAGCTGGCGTTGGGGGTAGCGGGGACGTTATAGGAAGGGGTAGGGCAGAACGCATCCCTGCCAGACCGGCCACCTGCCTACCAACCCTGTCTGCTCCACGACGCTTCCCAGTATTCGAGCGATCGCTAGTACTCGCGCACGCAAATCCCACGGCCGGGGATGTGCGTTGATCGCGCCATCGCGTCGACTCCGATCGTACTACGGTACGTACGGTACGTAGTGTGGTAGTAGCGTTCTTGACATGACGTGACGTGTCGTGGACTACCGTATCCTGCCGTGTCGAACCGTTCTGCATCCCCGTACCAACGAGTGCACGTGTGCACAGTCTGTCCTCGTGATCGTCGTTAACGGGCCCGATGCGCCAGCCGAGGAAGCACCGATGCCATCCTCCGTCCATTCGTAACGCCGCCGTTGTCTGAACTATGGATCCGCCGGGAGTCACCGTGCTGGTATCCCACGAGTGTCCCTGAGTCTCGCAGCCCCTGCGAAAATCCCGCGAACCTCGCCGACGTGTCCACGTTAAACGAACTCGACAGGTTGGAGGGGACCGCAGCATTCTCTTTCGCGGAACATGTCCGGACGTTTGTTTTCCAATTATCGGGCCGGGAACAAGGTCCGGGATTCACGGGTACCGAGGATTTAGGCGGAACACGATCGAGAGAAGAACCCGCGCGAAACGATCGAACAGCTCCTTTAGCGGCCCCAGATTATGCGTCAAGCATGCGGTGCACGTTTACGAGCATTCCGATGGAAAGGGTTGTCAAGGTTTATTGACATCGACGGACGCGAGGGGATCGCACGTCTCGATCCTTGGATTCTATAGGACGTTGAATCGTCGTGTTTGGTCTCGTGTTTCGTTGCTGCGTTCTATGATCCATGTAGATTTCATGTCGCGCCGCGCGAGGAAGCCGCGAATCTTCGCGTTTAATGAGAACGTAATTAGTCGGCAAATGCGACCGAAGGATGAATGAGTAGACGCGTTTTGTAGCTGGTAAATAGGCGACGAGCGAAGTTGCTCGCGTAGCGCATTATGTCGGCGGTGAAACATTCGCTGTAATTCGTAACTGCTGGATTAGATTGATACGAAGGTGTAGGTAACGTCGAGCATTTGTTTCGCAGCCGACTGCCGATGTACATAGGGTCGGTGTAATTTGGCTTCTGTAGCTCTGCTTGTTAGCTTCTTTCGAATCCAGTTGACGAAATCCTCGTTAGTCTTATGGGCTGTACATGCGAGGCTCGACAGCCGAGTACGGACGATTTATTCGTCAGGGGGACTCGCGCCGTATTGTTAGGGACAGTATAGAGTGGTAGCTTCCCTCGACCTTTGCCTCTTAACTTCTTTTCGAGTTCCGAAAACATACATACTTGACGCAAACAACCTCTGGTGTTTCAGAGAGAACGCTGCCTGACATGGCTACCTGTTTCGAGCAACCTTTGTTTCACGCTTCACAAAAGAACGAGGTCATTAGGTACGCGAGAAACCAGGAAGGGTCGAGGGAAGTTGGCCACAGAAGAATAAGTTGCCGCAGCACTTTCGTCGGGAGCCTTTCTCTTATTGCGAAAAAGACGTCACTACGGTCAATCCCTCGTAGTTCAATAGCCATTCGAGTGCTCGCCGGAACTGTTTGATCCCTCGAACTTCCGTGTTCTTCTCTTTTTTGTATCGCTGCTCAATTAAAAAAAAAGAAAAACGAAAATATAGAAGGAAACAGGGAAAATCCTTTAAAAATGTTGAAAGTGATCGTTATCATATGAATGGCGAACGAAAACTTTTCGCGTCGATGTCAATGGCTCTCGAGTGTCAAGAGAACCGGTGTTTTGTTGCAAGTGCAGTCGTCGAACGGCTGGGATTCTCGTCGGATACTGTAAACACCAGAAATTCGTCGATTGTTGTCGAGCAGACGGCTGCAACGGTACTAATTCCCGTTAAATCAATCAGAAGAAAACAGTGCACGAGCAAATGAACTTTCCGGATTATTCGTTCGTGTAACGGAAGTTACGGTATTACAACTCCCCGTGGAACATTCAAATTACGCATGGTTCTTTAATGCATGCGTGCATGCCAAATCTGCCCACCGAACGGTCGATTAAAGTGGAAACACGCAGCAGAAGTCGTCGATAATGGCGATGGAAATTGAACGAAATCCCGAGAAATGTATTCGCCATACGATGCTTCAATCGATCGATCGATCAGCCGTCACGAATGTTTTGATAACGGTTGTTAGATAATGCGCATCGGATCGGATGAACAGTAAGCACGTTGAAATTAAACTAATTACGAGGAAACGCTAACGCGGTTCACACATCAAACACGTTGTTGAAACAAACGAAACACATTGTTGATCTCGTTCCACGACACAGGATGCCAAGAAAAATCTCCTCTCGATTTAAATGATCGTAATCGAAGACGATGCTTCAACGAGACGGAAAGTTTTTAACGGAAACATATGTCTGTGGACACATGTCCAGCTGTTCCCACGAAGCGAGAAAGTCACTTTTGTAATTACGAAAGAAGCCACTTGCACGTTATTCGGTTTAATGAAGCCCCTTGCGTGAGAAATACATAGATATAGGGCGAAGACCAACGTACGAGGAAAAGTTGCATCGCGTGCGATCGTTTTCGAAATTCCTGTCGGCGAAACCCATTAGTCGATCACTGTCGTGGCAGCGTGGCCAATGATTGAACGAAATTTACGAAGGCAACTCGAGATCTGCTGAAAAAGTATCCCCCCCCCGCGAAACTATGTCATCGGTACACTGTTTCCTGCACTGTAAGAAAGAGATGACATCGATGCTGGGAAATCGCTGCGAGTAATCAGCTTTATGCTGTCCCGGTTTATCCGCGAGCTCGTGGTGGATAATATCGTGGCAGGGGAAGATCAGAAAACCGGGAGGTTGAACTCTAGCGCGACGGTTTTGTGACCGTTTGGTTCGCGGGCTCCACGAAAGACCCGCGACGAATCCTACGACAAAGAGGTCACCATCGACGGTGGTGAACGTAATGTTCTAACTCGAGGTGAAGAGATGACGGTGACTCCGTCTACGTCCGATGTCGCTGACAAGGCAGTCTCGACGGACGATGGTGGCAGTGGAATGGAGGTGGCACGTCTCGAAGCCGTCCTTGCTGCTCTGGTGGAAACAAAGGTGGAGGCTATCAAAGCCTCTTCAACTTTAAGTAAACGTTCCGGTAGTGCACCAGCTAGTCCTCGTCGGCTTAGACTAACTTCCACTTCGACCGCGTCCTCTTCGCTGAACCACCACCACCACCACCATCACCACCATCAGCATCGGAGGAAGAGTCATTACCACCATCACCATCATCATCATCACCATCATCGTGGCAAGAGGCACGACTCCGCGCCTTGCGACTCGTTCATCGAAGACGACCGGCACCAGCATAGTTCACGTCATGGTGAGTAGGCTTACTGTTTTCTGGAACCTATACCCTGCAAACGAAGCGTTCGATCCAGCAAATCGAGCGGTTATCGTTGTAGATCATTATAGACTCAAAGTAACTTTTACATTCTTACTGATATCTAAACGAAAACTTATTGAAATATCATATTTGTGTATTTCTATTTTTTATTATTGCTATTAATACTAATATAGAAATATATTTTCTAATATAGAAATATATATTCTATTATTTCTAATATAGAAATGTATTTTCTATTATTTCTATTATTTGTAATATAGAAATATACAAATATGATATTTTGTTGAATTTTCTTTTAAATATCTGTAACGATGTAAAAGTTACTTTGAGTTTATAAATATACATACCACTGTATAATGATAGCCGCTCGACTGAGAGACCCTGTACATTTAAAAATAAAGTTAGCAAAACATTACATTTGTATATTTCTATATTAGAAATAATAGAAAATGTGTAATTATATTATAAATAATCATTATAAATAATAGGAAGTGTATATATTTACGTATTAGGAGTAATAGGAGATAGAAATATACAAATATGATGTGTGGCTAAGTTTTTATTTAAATATCACTAAAAATATAAAAGTTACTTTGGCTCTATAATTATTCTTACCACTGTACTTACACTGTCTCATAATAATTTCCAATAACACCACAATTATTTCGAACAAATATTTATCTAATATAATTATCCGAATGAATTCCTCTTAATCGAATACTTCATTCTTTATCATTCGTTATTCGAATAAATTATTCGCATAATTCTTCATTCCGAAGAAAATTTTGCCCAACTCTAGTTCAAACGTGTCCTAAAACAAAGCAACTTTTTAAAAATTAGATCAAACTTTGTGAACTTTTCTTTCAGATGATAGACGGGCTCGGTTGCTAAACAATGTGTACAGATTTGCTTAAATTTTAATTTGTGGATCTCAATATCTTTGACATTGGTTAACGTTGCTATGAACTACAAGCAATTAAAGATGATGAAAATTATGTGTAATGTAATAAATATGGAAATTTGTACAACTTTCAATACCTGATGCTTTAGTTTAGTTGAAAAGGTTACTTTATTTTTCGTTTTTATCATTTCAAACAATTGTAATTTTTGCAAGAAAAAATTTGGTGTAGCAAACTAGTCTTTCTATCATCTCAGAATTATATACAATTTTTGATATAATTTCAAACTATTATCGATTTCAATGTTTAAACACATTTATGAGCCACTGTATTTGTAAACTTTATGTCGACAATTTTTTCATTGCAATATAGACACAAATATAATAATTGAACAACGGATTTTATTCAGTTATGATAAAATCAAATAAGTTGCAAATAAAACTGGGAAGACATTAGAAGAATTTAAGGCCAATCTCGATCTATTGTAATTGTTAAAGGAAAAGATTATTTTCATTTAGGTACTAAGAAAACTTTTATTTTGTTTCGGAAACGCGTATAAACATTAATAGTAATAATACCTAAACTCTGATATAATTTTCTTCACATAAGCCCTTATGTGGGTTTGTCACGCTTAAATAAAAAAAGACTTCGCTTCTACATAAATCGATTGCAAAGATTCATTAGATTTCCATGTTATAGTATTCACGATAAGCCGAATCAGCAAGTAATGATCAGACTCGTCATCAATTCGTGTTCAACAGTAAAATTATATTGCATATTTACAATTTTATTTTGCATAAAGATTTATTTTTTCGATTCTACGAAATAGTATATATATTTTCGTCGAGGAATTCGTTTCATTTCAAATTAGCTAGTACGACGGTAAAGTTTGAGTAAGATGTTACTCAAGAACGGAGACACACAAAACGATCCGTCGACTCTTTTTCCGCGCTTTCCTCAGATGAATCCTCTCGACTATCTCGACGGCGCTCGAGTCAAAGAAAGAATCGATTTAGGAGATCCTTAACTGTTCAACGGACTGCAGGAAAGCTCTGTTCCTTTTTTACATGACGATTCTCCGTTCACGGTATTGAAGTAATCAAGGAAAATGTTGCAAGCTTAGCTTACTGAATGATCGATGAATAATCATTCTGATCCTGAGCTGTGTATCTTAACGCTATATATATTTCCGAATTTGATAATACTTTAAAAAAGCAGTTACCTTTGATTATCGTTATATGAACGTACTATAGCAGAATCTTACATTACATTATGGAGTAATTGCTTAATTGGCGCACGCTTTAAATATGTAATGTATAAGTCGATAATAACTATGTATATGTTAATATAATATTTCAATAGTTACTTCTTCTTTTACTTAACTATAAGTACAACTATTTTAACTTTTAAAGTATCATGAAAATGTGGGGTGGAAACAGTTTTCATATTTGACGTATTTATTTCTAACCACTTACAGTAATTGGAACTTATCCTTATATAAAATATCATTGCTGAACTGCTATTTTCATTATCCAATATTAACTGTATAAATCAATATAAAATAAATATCAAACCCATTGCAGTGGCATGACATTTCATATTGCTCGTAGGCCTCAATTATTCATATACTTGCGAACAATAGTTTAGTCACAATTTTTACTTTCCAGTTATTGAATACATAAAAATGTTTTTGTTAAAAATCGTTAATTGAATTAATTTCTTCCAGTGTGCGTTACAGTAACAGTTGTTCCAAGCCTCAATAAACATTGACATCTTTATAGAAAATTGAAATCGAGTTATTTTGGGTGTTTCGTATTTGTATACGAATACACTTTATTTTATAATCATAAAATATGAGAAATTGCTTTAGTTAAAGAATGTATTTCAATCCGGGAAAGAGAAAACGAAAACGTATATTCGTAACTATAATATTTGTGTTGAGCGAAGCGGAGGTTACTGCGTTGAAAAAATACTCCATTAACTTGATCGATTTTTCCTTTAATTCGTGTGCAGAAGATAATGCACAAAGCATACCTGGTATTTTGATACAGTTGGTAACGAAGTAATTCTATATGGAAAAATAATTTGGAACCTCCGAACAAGTTTATTCGATATTTCGTTTTCGAGTAAACGTATCAGGTAAGCGCGCTACTGATTAAAATTTAAGTAACGTGCCAGTCCATGGCATACCTTTTCTACTTAGTGCACTTTCTCTGCTAATCCATGCGAACGACGCGTTGCACGATTATTTTTAACTCGCGCTTTCTTTGATTGTGTCTGTGTTTAAATACGAAATATTTTAGATATCAAAAAGATAAGCAATAATTAATAATAAATAATAAATAATTTTGTTCTATTTTGTTCTTCAGTTCTAAACAAAAAACCATATTATTTATGGTACTAATGTATATGTAATAATGATGTGTTTAATGATAAATTTAATAATAAATTTAATAATAATGATGTATTTATATATGGGAATAAAAAGTTATACTTACTGGACCAAGTTCTGTTTTATACAATTTTTGTTCACGATTATTAGCTATTATTAGCTATCATTAGCTATTATTAATTAAGACTTTGATAATGACTATTTTTCATAAGTAAAAAGATATAATGAAATAAAATTTTAATCATGCCAATATCTGTACAGCTATGTAAATATTTATAAATGTCCTAGTTTTGGACTTATTTGTTTTCTTGCGACAAAATGTAAAGACATTTTCTAATAATGACTAATAAATAAATGAATGGCACAGAATATCTAAAATATTCGCTTCTTTTTAAGTATCGAAGACTTGGTAGGTGTATGTAAGCTTTCGTGAATAAGTATATTTCAATTCGACAGGCGCGGTGTACAAAAGTCGTCGATTTGAAGTGAAATGGTCCGTGGCGCTTATTAGTCTCTAACAACGTCGCGTGTCTACTGCGTCGTAAGCTGTTTTACGATTGAAAACATGTATTCATAAATGTGCCATTAAATAAGAGTGTTAAAGTACGCGACATTGTTCACTTATTCCTATGAGATCATACTTAAGCTCAACTACTTCTTCTTCACGCGATGACACTCATCTTACTCACCGAACTACGGAAACTGCAATTAGATACTTGACTAAAGACAAATGATCCGGTTTTTGATAATATAAAATGGCGAAGAAGGTTTTAACAGCAAACAACATTTTAATAATGTTTTGATTATTTGAAATCTCGACGTGTCTGTTGAAAATCTCTATTACGATTCCTTCTCTGAACTATCTTTGTATCATTCTCTTATTCACGGTGTCATCGTCGCCAATGTTTTCTGTTATTTGCAGGGCATTCTTACCTTTGAGAATATAAAATTGTTACACGGTACTGCAGCTTCTTATTGTTAATCTTCGGATGAAAGTGAATACTATAATAATTAGCCACATAATAATGAACTTCTTTCTGAAATTACATATTAAAGTCTGTTCTTGTAAATTATACACATGTTTTATAAGTTTCGAGTAGTTTTTTCTATTAGAAACAACAAAAATGGTCTCTTATGAACATTTAAAAAGCTTCACAAATTATTAGGTAAGATTAGTAATATATTTAAGTAAGATTAATAATATATATATATAATAATATTTATTTATTTGCTTAACTTATCCAGTTAACTGTTTTTGACGAGCATACTCGTCATGAAGTAATGACAACATTTTGTATCCAGAAACAGTTAACTGGTTAAATGTGATTAGTATACTGCGGATCTTTATGCATTTATCAGAAAAATAGTAACGTGAAATACAGAATAGTAAAAGCCTCGGAAGAATATCAGACAATATAAAATTATTAAGAGAAATAATTCACTGCTATTCAATTCCTGTCTCTTAAAATTGCTAAAGAGATTTTTTATTTTGCATAAACATCCACAGTCTAGTGATTAGCTTCGACAGTGTTATTTCCGATACTTTGGTGTTGCAAATAGTTCAGTGAAGTGCACCATGCATCGTTTGTTACGTGAATATTTGTTTTTCGTCTATCACAGTTTATTTTGTATACCATTGAATCTAAGATTAACGCGAGAGTCACCTAAAAATAAATCTTACTCTA